AAGACTGTAGGCTCTGAGATTCCTATGCTATCTGTAATTGATGATGGTGTTGGAATGAATCACCAAGAGATATTGAGGATGATTTTTTGGGCACAAAGTACCTGACGAAGATAATCAAGATTGTATTGGAAGATTTGGTGTTGGTTTCAAGGTAAGCTTTTCATCAAATGTTTACTTTTACAGTTTTGTCCTTGGCAACTTTCGGAAGAGATAAAATATAATGAATCAGTAGATGAGATTCTCTTGGGCCAAAATGTGTATCTGATCTTCCTAGCCACTGTGTCTTCTGCTGTACTCTATTTCGTTGGACTTCAGAATGGCATGTGTATGCTCAATATTTGCTTGGTAGCTTTAGCTCCCTGATGCATTCTTGTCTGCAGGTGACTTTGATAATGACAGAATTCACAATAAAGTAGATAGTTAGGATTTCCCCATGAGGGAGCATGTTTTTGTTGCATCAGAAATGTGAATAGGCACTATCTGCAGTATCATATTAATTGAACTCTAAGGGTTGTTATGTGGCTTATGTTCATGAAGTTTCATGAACTCATTCAACGTTTTTGGATCTCTTGCTTTTGTCAGTTTGTATTGGGACCTTTCCTCGTCATCTAATGCTAGGTTTTTTTTTTTTTTTTTGTCAGACAGGGTCAATGAGACTGGGCAGAGATGCTCTAGTCCTAACACAGACAACACATTCTCGTTCTGTTGCTTTTCTTTCGCAATCATTAAATGAAGGAAAGGACGTAAGCCATCACAAACTTTTCTCCCCCTGCCCCTCACCCACTTTATTGCTGTGTAAAATCTCTGTAAAACTCCTGACTCTTGCTTTGTGTGTATACAATGTTGTTATGTTGCTTTTCTTTTGCAACCATCAAATGGGGCCGTGGAGTTAAAAATGTACCCCACCACAAATCTCTCTTTCCCTCCCCTTTAATTCCGTGACTTTATGTCAACTTAATTTCTTCTGTGTTGCTTGTGTGTATATGTCATGGAATCATAAAAGGTTTTGCTGAATACAACAGAGTTCATGTTGGATTAACAAGATTCGTATAATTTATTACTACATATTATTAGAGTTGTTACTGTATTAGATGCTAATTTCAGCAGCTGCAAATGTTTGAATATCTCTTTGTCTTGTATGAATAAGTTATGGTCAATTTTAAAGCTTATCTCTAAAAGCACTTGGAAGTAAGAAAAAGACCGTAGTTTCCCAAATTTCCTGCTGAAACTGCCTCAAGTCGCAAAACTAAATTTTCAAGATGACGCTTCTACAGCCCATGGGCATTACTGAGTTGTTCACAATTTTTACCAGGGACTATGTGATGTATATTTGTGTGGTTTTTTTCTTTTGTGGTTGAGTATACTGTGTGCGCAGTTTCTGGGTATTATGTGGGTACTTTTCATACCGGCATGTGTCTTCCACGATGCAGAATGTGGAGATACCTGTTGTCAGCTACTGTCGACAAGCTCAGTGCATGGACATTGATACAAGTGTACAGTCTGAAGCACTAGCGAAGTACAACCTGAATGCGATGAAGCAGTTTTCACCATTCAATGAGTATTTAATTGGTGAAAAGGCTGGCCTATTTAGAGGAAATACAGGAACGCAGATCTATATATGGAATTTGGATAAATGGGGCGCAGAGTACACTTTGGAATGGCAAGCAGGCTTGCGCGGTGGGAGCACCTTTCACCAGGGTGACATATATATTCGTTCTAGACGTGTAAGAAAACGTCCTGGGCAGACAAGTAGAAAGGTTAGGAGCACATTCTCTTCTAATATTTCGTTCTTCTGATGCTATTTACTAAACAGATTGTAAGATCAGTTTTGCAAATTTTGCTTTGTCTTTTAGTCTAACAATAACTTTTTTGTGTTATCGTAACTTATCAAATTAGATGCTTTGCCTTTTTCTGGAATATATTTCTGTTTTTTCATTTTCGATGTTGATATCTAAATTATTAGTGACGTACCTGGTCAAATTTACATATGGTAGATGTGGCTATGCTTTTATGATTACGGTAAATACTTATTGCTTTTTTTCTCCACCTTCGTTCCTTTCCAGGTTTCTTTAGATTATTCACTTCGTTCTTATTTGGAAGTCATATTTTTAGAGCCTAGGATGAAGATATATGTTCAAGGCTCACTGGTAATTCCATTAACTTTCTCTGCTATTATGGGTTATTAAATTCTATCTGTTTAGTGGTGAATTGTAACTCCGCTTGACAGGTTAGAAGTCGACCCTTGGCCAAATCTCTTAATAATACTGCTCACCATAATGGGGAAATAATGGGCAAACAAGTCCGGCTTACTCTTGGTCGCTGTCAGATAGAGTGGGATGAGGCAAACTGTGGAATATTCTTATATTGGCACGGCCGTCTAATAGAGGTCAGCAAACATTTTCATCTAAATGTGGATGGCTGGGGATTTTTTTTCTGAACATTCTTGTTCATTGCATGCTTCCTCATTTCCTTATCATCGTTAAGCTGCAACTTTATGGGTGTATCGTATATGTCATGCTTTAGTGGGATTAAGTGATATTAGTGTGGGTTGGTCTCTAAAATAGCGTAGATGTCATCGCAATATTTTCTTATCAACAAATAGGAGTTGATGTTGATGCGTGGGTGGCTATGTGCATAGATACATGGCAAAGTATGGAACAGTGTTGCCAAATTGGCTAGTATGAGATTGGATATGTGAATTTTAGTCACTACTGAGTATTGTCAATTTAGGCAAAATGTACCACATTCATGTTTAAATGTTCTTTCTCAATTCGCAGGGGGGGGGGGGGTAGGGAATCAGGTAATGTGTATGCCTGGGTTTGAAGGAACATAAAGTAGAATTGTTCACTGTTATTTGGCCAATATATCTCGTAGTTTGTATAGAATGGTTTCTGTTAAAGGGGTTTTACGTTCTGATTTTAAAGTTTATATGGAGCTTGTAAGAAATAAATTAGAAGATGGGTTTCCTTTCATTGACAGAAGTAGCCAATGTATCGGTTGTTCTCAATAGATTATGTAAATAGTCTTTAATCACTATATATATCATGTGTTCTCTACTTCTCTCTTATTTAAATAATTTTCATTGGTTTGAATATGTGCTTAAAGATGAAACTCTGTGATTAAATCCCCTAAGGTAATAACATGTTACCTCTTCTAATGTAGTGTAATTATATTTTGGGAGAAAAATTTATTTTAATAGGAGAACGTGCCTGCTTTTGCATGCTTTTTTAATCACAAGAAAGTGGTTGATGGACTAAACTATTGATCTACTTAAAAGCTACTGTAATTTGTAAGATTTATACTTTCTACTGATCTTTGATCGGTTTTACCGAGAACTCGAGAAGGCCTACGGTTCGAGTCCGTATAGCCCACCCCGTTCTTCCTCTATCCTTAACCAAAAGCTAACTTATTCTCTCTCTTACCGTCTTTCTTTCTTTCCAGGCGTACAAGAGAGTAGGTGGCATGGTTCACAGTGCTGATATGGGTCGAGGTGTAATTGGTGTTGTAGAAGTTACTGAATTGATGGTGAGCCCCCCCCCCCCCCGTCCGTAATTTATATCATTACACCAATGCTTCTGGTGACGCTCTTGTCTGAGGTAGAAAAGGATCTTCTTAGTGGGCTGAGATTCTTTCTGGGTATTCAATATCAAGCAATTATATATGTTGATAATGCTGTACATGTCATTATGTAATCATGTATTCTACAGCCATTATTTATAAGGTTTGTCTTTCCCTTTTTTAAAAAAATTATGATTACTGTTCTGCTAAACTATCGTTTGTTCATCTTTTGGATTCAGGATGATGGGAATGGTGGTGTTTGGGTTCATAACAACAAGCAAGGATTCCAAGATTGTGAGCCATATGCTTTGCTTGAAGAATGGTTGGGAAAGCAGGCAGATGAATACTGGGAAAGTTTTTTGATCCAGTACAGCTGGTATGCTATATATTCTACTTTATGCTTGCATAGTTTTTCTCTCTCTATGCCTACACTTGTTATTCCAGATGAACAATGGTTACATTTACATTTTTTTAATGTCGTTCAAAGTGCTTATTAATTAGGCGGCTTGGAAATTTATTAAGCTTTAGCTCTTGGATAGATTAATATAACGATCGAGATAAAAAGAACTGGAGCAAACTTAGTTTACAAGGTGGAAGTTTGGACCTCAGTAATGGCAATTGTTGTCTTTTGCAAATCCTAGGGGTCCAAGTGGAATGTTGGGCATAAAGCCACTAAGTCACTCTGGTGTTCTTTTTTTTTCCTCTTTCCTTGCTGTACCACTACAACCCTACATGTGCTTTGTCAACTGAAATCTAGTGTCAACTGAAATAGTCTTTCATGCAAAACCTATGTCGGAATTCACTTCTTCTTTTTTTTTGTAGGGTTGTGTGTTCCGGCCTCCCCCTCCTGTTAGCTGTGTTGGCTATTTTAAAACTGGCAATAAGATTATGGCAGAAATAAGTCTTGAACCTTTCTGGGGAAGGTTTGTTGATGGGGTTTTTAAAGGTGAAGGTTGTAGGATCAGAAACAAAAGGAAGAGTGAGGAAGAGAAAGACTATAGATGTAGGAGTGGTATAGATAAATGGGCCATGACGGCCTATGAATGGCCTTGGAGCAACTTAACTTAGGCTTTCCAGTGGCCATTAATCTCTCTCCGATCTATATTTGGCAGATGGGTTTTTTGGATTTTCCCGGGGGTTAGGGGGAGGTTGAACACTCCTACCCCCAAGTAATGAATATTCCTGTAGCTAATTGTTGGGGTGCCAGCTGACTGACACTGGTCAGGTAAAAAGCAGTCAAACAAAGCTCTTTCTTTTACCTGCTATTAGCCTTATACACTTTTGATGGGTTTCAATGTCAGCCTATGTGGTTAAATAATGACAATAATGATCATTTGATGTCGGTGCTTAAGGTTCATTGGAAGAAGAGTTATTACATAGTCATTCCTTTTATTTTGATAATTCTTTTTTTGTTGGTAATGTAGCATTTTTTAGATTGTGAGCCAAGTTTATTTGGTCTTTTTATTGTCTGTTAATAGTATTGTCTGGTGAGGTGCTATGTGTTCAACTACGCTGCATTAAGATCTAAGAAGTATTACTTACCTGGTTTTCTGTATTGCTTTAGCAATGTGACCAGATAAATTGTTGCATTGCTTGTTTACTGCTCATTTTAAGTTTACTTATTATATCAACCCTCAACTGTCTAAATTGCTGACAGTATGTATAGACATATAGTGGTGCTTGAAAGCCAATGAGATTTTTCAGCAGTTTAGGTCATATAACTTGCTTTTTATTTTTTTGTTTGTATTTGTCAGAAAAAAGGCCATGCTCGATACAAGCCTGATAATGAATGGGTGCAGTGTGACAAGTGCAGGAAGTGGAGATTATTAAATGCTGATTTTGACAGCATGAATCTACCTAAAGACTGGTATTTTTCTTTTAATGATTTCTTTGAATTAGAATATACAGAGTAATCAAAATTCTGCTCTCTTGCTTTTCCTGTCGCTCATGAGAATGGTCAAAGTTTCAAAATTTAACTGCTCCAAATTTTTTGTAAGTTGTCTTTGTAGGGATGACACTTGCATAATTGCGTGAGTGATAAATACAAATTTTTTAACAACAAAAATAAGGAAAAAAAATTCTGATAAACTGTACCATGGTGCTGAAGGTGTGATGATAAACTGATACATATATTTGGCTTTACAATTCCAAACTCTCTATTGCTCATTTTGAGGAGGGGGGAGGGAGTCGTCTTGTGCATTATTTACTACACCACATGCAAAAGGAAAAACTACCTACCCATTTGATACAACTCCTAATCAATTTAAATGCGACAAATGGGACAATATTTCAAGTATGGAGGGAGTAGGATTTAAACTAAGACGAATCAGGCTCTTTTCCTAAATTTACAAATGTTATTAATGGTATGGCTCAATTTTACCCTGCCCTTGGCATCCAAGGCAGAAGTATTGCGATATTGATGATGTGTTCTCTTACTAATGCATTTTACTCTTTTCTTCACTCCCCCCTTTTTGGTCTATTGCAACAGGTTCTGTTACATGGATCCTTCAATGGAAGATGTGAAATGCCTGAGCAGAAAGCCTGGTCATGGAGTAATCACAGTGGAGCTGAAGAGGTCATCTGGTCATGATCCAAGCAAAATTGCTGACTCTGAAGGCTTACAGATTTGTAGGGCCCAGTCCTATAGCAGAAGGTATCTACTTAGCCTGCCTTGGCTAATTTTTTTTTTTGTTATGAGGATGGTGGTCCTTCATTTGAATTACTGGCCTTGTTGCCCGATTATTCTAAGAACATGAAGTCAAAGTTATAATTTTTATGCCGAAACACAAACACTATGTTGAACATCCTTACTCCTTTTTGTATTGCCTGCGGGTCCCTTCTGCACCAATTTGTGCTAGTTTCTAACACCTTGAGTCCTGGGGTGCTTTATGGCAGTTAAGGCCACAAGGGGAATGGATCAGTTTGGCTGTATCTGTGTGGTAGAACGAGAGTGGGCTGTGGGGGGTTAATGGGAGGGTTCTATAACTCCATTTTCATAAATCAAGGTATTTGATTAGAAGAAATCCTGTCTCCCTCCTCATCCTCTATCACTTGCCACTGCTACTCACCACCTCCTTGACTCCTTCCCTCTCCATCATCTCATACTCAAGTGCTCCTTGCTCCCAAACTCCTCATGATCTCGCCATACGGCATACCACAACCTAAGAATCTTAAGCCTGAAAGATTATGCTTTCTCATATGTGCTTGATGAATAACATTTAACCTGAATTTCAGCCCACCTGCTTGTGGAATTGTGGAAATGATTGTGTTTCATTTACAGAATTATTTTTTTTCAATTAAATGTGCTTTTTTTGCTTATCCAATCTTGATTTACATTTCATGTGTATTTTATCTTTTAGCAAAGGGTGAAGACAAGTCAACCCAACCAGCAGAAGGTGATGAAAAAACTCCCACTGTTAAAAAGGCCAGAAGAGGTGCATCAATTGCTTGGAATTATATGTAGATATCATGAATTTTGTCACATTTTTAATCTTTTGCAGGAATTTATTTTACTCCCTCCGTTTCATATTTCTCTTCTCAGAATCTTTTTGTAAGACAATGGTCAAAAGTAGGAAGAACAATATAAAATGGAGGGTGTAATAAAATGTATTTTCTTGCATGCCCACTTTTGACTTATTATTTGTGTATCTTATCCTAGGAAAGGGTCAAGACAAGTCAACTCCACCAGCGGAGGATGATGAAGAGATTCCTGTCATTAAAAGGCGTAAAAGAGGTGTGCAAAATGCTAGGAAGTACATACAGGATTAGTGAGTTTCATTTCAGCACATTTTGAACTATACAGAAGATTTGCTAACACACATTCGTTTTGGATTTTCTCGTGTATACACTATTACGGGGTGATCTTTTGCTAGATAGTACTCGCCATTTTGGCTTGTTTTACTAGACTAGATGTTAATATTTGCCATTTTGGCTTGTATATACCGCATGGTGGATGAAAATATTTTGTATAGGAAGGCCATTCACATGCACATTTAATTCATCTGAAGAATGTAAAGCTCATTGCTGTTACTGGATCTTGTTTAGATAGAATCATTTAGCAAGCTCATTTGAAGAATGTTTAGATAGAATCATTTGAAGAATGTAGAGCACATTTAATCTTTTGGAACATATCGTTTTACAGAGTACATGTTTACGATTATTTATGTTTTGAATAGGACCTAATCAAACCTAGTGCTTAATTGCTGTTTATGTTCCTTGCTACAGTAATTACTTTGTGTATTGTGTGAAGGTAGGTTTTCATATTGGCCTTATCATCTTACTGCTTATGTCAACGCTTGCATTGGTCGCATGTCGTGAAGCCAAACCCGCTGCTATGCCATAACCAAGTCGTGCATATTTTGTTCACATTACAGCAAAAATTTTATGAAGAATCTGGCGAACGTGAGCAATGTCCCGCGTTATAAGTTTTTTCACGTTAGGTTGTGTCCAATTAAAGAAAATACTTGTATATTTATTAAAAACTTAAACTCCTTAAGATTCCAAGAACTATCAAACTTATTGATACATTTTATATCCAATTCTGTTATTAAATGATTAATTTAGAGATACATTGTTCGATTTCAATTTTAATCTCAAATCAACTTTAATTTACTCAAATAATCTGTAAAATTATAAATGGTTATATGTGAGTCCTTTTAACAGTTCTTGAGTTTCAGCAACCCACATAAAACCCAAACATCCAAATTTAAAGTTTCAAACAGATTCTATGAATCAAAATTTCCTTTTACCAGTAAAATTTTAAAATCTTGCTAACTTGCAAAATAATTTATTTAAAAAAAATGTAGGTTCCAAATGGAGCAGATGTGAGCATAAAAGGAACAACATCTGTAACGATGAGACCCTGAATTATAATTTACCAGACTCGTAACTGTATCAGCTACTTTGATTTTAAGTCATTAATTCTGATACTTGACTAATGTCTGGTTTTCTATGCAAACATATTCAGTTTCAACTACGATATCAATTTCATTATATGTAACGCGGGCTAACTATAAACATTAAATTAACAAAAAGGTAAAACTATCCCAACCCGGACAGGGATTTTTACCGTAGTAAAAGGGTAAAAAATCCGGAATATTTTGGGCATAAATGGTTGGGATAATTTGATGTAGCTGGTCATGGGAGATGTACAGAAAGGGTTTTTTTTTACTTAATTAAAATTTCTATACACTACATTACCAGCATTTCAAAATTCAATTTTCCAAAAAAATAAAATCACCTTAATTTAAAAATCATCAAAACCCAGAAAAATAAAAACCCTAATTTTTGAGAAAAATTCAATAAAAATGTATCAGATCGGGACAACGGTGGGTTGCTAGAGAGAAAACATCCACCAAGTCAGATGATCGAATTTTAATTTGGCTGGTCTCAGGAAGCATCTAACACTGGATTAATCTAGATACCGCTTTTCCAGCAATTTCATTTACACAAAATTGAAGAGAAATAACAGAAATTTGGGGGTTTTGCAATTAAAATTATTCATATATAATGAATTTGTAGGAAAAAATAAAAAAAAGGATAGAAAGAAATAAAATTAGGGTTTTCAGATTAAGGTGTGAAGATGGAGATTCATGGCGTCGACTTGGTTAATTATGAGAAATGATTAGCATGTATTTATATGAAGACAGGGAGAAAAGGGGTTTTAGGGTTTTGAAGAGAGAGGTTTTATTGGGTTTTTGGGTCGTTTCTTGTTAAGGTTGGTTGTGGGCTTTGTTTGGATTTGTTTATTTGTTACAATTTTTTTATGGGCTTATTGGTGTGTTGTGTTGATTTTCTGCCAACAAAATTATAAAACACTATTATGGACAAATGGTGTATGGTGTTGCAAAAATGCAAAAATGTAGGGATGCGGAATGTGGATGTTGAGGTGTCAATTTTGAATGATCGGATCGGGTCTGATGAGATCGGGTGGGTCGGGTCAATTTTTTAAAGTTGAGTCATGCTAAATTATTATGTTTATACGAGTCCAAATCTAAATCGAATATTTTTCGGGTCGATTTCGAATCGGGTCGGGTGTGGTTTTGACACCTCTATGTGGATGAATCCAATTGTTTGTTTGTTTATTACATTCGGCTAGGCTTATTTTAAGTTTGAGAAATTTGAGTTTAGTTTGTTACTCATTGATTCTTTGATGAGATTTTTACAAGGGACGTGTCAATTGTAAAACGTATATAATTATTGTAGTTTTGATGAAAGAAAAACTTTATTAGTTTAATTTGATACGTTTTTGTTATGTTAAATTCATTCTTAGTATCTTTAACATTTTTCACTAGTCCAACTTTTGATGAAACAAGTTTGGATTTCAAACAAACCTCTTCACAAGGTAATGTTTGATGCGGCTCGGTGGCTGGTTTCCTTCTTTTGCAATCAGTTCCCGTCCATGAGGTCCTTCAAGAAAGAAAGGGTCGATTATCTAATGATAATGAAATTTATTTTTTAAGAAAGAAATCCTATGTCTTTGTTTATTACTACATATAATGGATCACTATACACAAGCAATATGAGTATTCTCTTGCAAAAAATACAATATAAATTTATTATCATGATCATTGTTTACTATCACGTAACAAATTATTCATGTGGGTAGTAGCCTAATAGGTTTATACTTTTTATTTTTTTTTCCTGTAGTCCTTTTTTCTTAGCAGGTGTAAAACACAGAGAAAACACTACAATATACTACCAACCTCGCAATTTATCATTTATCATTCCAACTATTAATTTAAGATTACATTGCCAATTAGGCAATTAGGTCTGTAATTTATAGGTCTGCCTTCTTATCTCTCTTACTTTTCAATAATTTTCTTGATTATAATTTAAAATAGAAAATAGCCATTTTCAGAATCGGATAAGGTTTTCTCTAGCAAGGGTCTTTTACTCCATTATTTACAAGATTTTAGTCTGCCTAAAATCAAGCAATATCACCCGAGGAATAAGATGAATAGATAAGAGCACAAATTTAAGACTTATCTGATTTATAAAACATGTAGGAGTAATTAATTTAATTTTATTGTGGTCAATCTACTTGCATTGATCTTGAGTCATCGAATATAGTCTCCATCACCTATTGATCTTGAGTCAGCGAATATAAGTCTCCATCACCTATCTAGCTACTTGCATATGTTGCACATATAATAATCCATCTTCAATAAAATGTACAATGTGTACAATAAACACAATTAATTAGTTGCGTCATTATCTTTGATTATAGATGGAATTGATATATTTAGATCGATTTCAATTAAGATCAGAAATGGATTCATTACATCAAATGAGAAAACCTAGCTAGATAAGATCACTTAATCATTTTTTTCAATGTTTATAGTGTGTGAAAGAAAAGTCATCTACAAATATAATTCAATGTATATTATGTAGGGATCGGAAGAGGTCACTACGACTCTCACAAAATCACCAACTCAAGACAATCAACCAATAATTCAAACAAATCAACCCAAATTATTTCACAACTAAATAACCACACACAATATCAGCAATAATGCAGTAGCAAAATAGCAATAGCACCAACAATACTAGGAAGAAAAGATAATAATCAACACACTAGACTTTTACGTGGAAAACCCCTTCGATGTGAAGGATAAAAAACCACGGGACCGTTAAGGAGTCCACCCTAACTTCTCTTATTGATAATTGAGGGTAAAATAAACCCAAATCAGTCTACAAAAGGTTTATACACCCACCAACAACAACAAACAACAAGAGATGAAAAATAGAGAACAAGAGGAGTAGAAATCACCCAAAAACAGCACTTCTGTCCAAGGACGATTATGACCAAACCAGAGCTCAAACGACGATCTCCACCGTCCAAAATGAATCCTTGATGTCAGGAACAAGCTGTCAAAATTTGAGGATGATCCAACGGTTGAATTTCCGGAAACAGCCAGATCTGTAAAGGCTGTCCAGAAAAACCGAGAATGAAACTCTCTCTATTTCTCTCTTTTGTGTGTTCTAATTTTTGTGAATGAATCCTCTCATCACTTCACTTGGCTGCTGCCCTAATCTCACAAACATTTTTTACCCCAAAGCTTTCTAAGAAAGCCACCAAAAAAAAATAAGCCCAAAAGGACTTACTACTAACTAGTAAAAATGTAATAAAAATTGACCAAGTAAAAAGAGCCAAATACAAAAAACATTTTACCACCAATTGGGCTGAACCCATAACATATTATCCTTCTTAGGTAGCGTATAATTCAATGGATTTGGTGTCAATCTCTTTCAAAACGTATACAAGTATATATTATGTAATATTTCATACTCGCAACTCGTGGTGTATATATTTAGCTAAATATTGCATGGCGCAAACATGACGCATGTTGAGTCCCTTAGGTTTTGATTGATAGTTTTGAATGATGACAAACAGCTAAGGGAAACAGGTCTTTGAAAGTGTTCAATACAGTTGGGGGAACCAACTAAAATAGAACACTGTTTTCCTAGATAAGTTATTGATTATATGAGTTATCTATTGAACTAACTTATCTATATACAGGAAACAGTTAGATGATAAATGTGCTATGTACTGGTGGGGAACCAGTATGAACCGTTTCCTTGACTGCTATGCGGAAAAGCAGTCACATACTCTTTATTGTGCATTAACCATGTTACATGTGCAGTAGTTGAGTTGATTCCAAGACTTGGAGCATAGAAGCCTTTCGAAGATATTTCGAAGAAAGATTGTTTGCTCATAATAGAAGTATTCAAGGAAGATTCAAGTCTTGAAGATTACATGAAGAAAAGACGATTTATGCTTTAATATGTTATCTAGGTTTTCATGTAATATGCTCCGTAGTATGCTTGCATGTTTGGGTTATATAAGTGCTTAAAAGTATATTGAAGTATGATATGAAATCTGGTACAAAGTTGGAACAGGTTTCATAACATGTTTCAATTCAGGGAACCAGGTTGGGGAACCAGGTTCACTGTACGAAATATTCGAGCTGCCGTTTTGGAAAAAGATTTTACAAAAAGATTTTTTTGAAAATATTTTGTGCAGCTGG